GTAATTTTCATTGAACAATATCACATATAGTTGATGTTTAATAAATTCATAATAATAATTATATTATAATAAATATTACATTACGAGGGAGTGTCGTGTTTAAATAAGGTTTTATCAGCATGTTTTATTTTTGCTGAATGACAGCTAATACCCTATCCGACTATAGAGGGTTAATAGTAAACTCTCAATGAATAAGAAAATATCCTAATAAAAGTACGTGTAGCACGACACTAGTAATGAAATTCAATATTTATTTCGTAATAAGTAAACCAAAAGATAATTGAGTGTTATTAACTTGTATTATTAAAAGTTTTAATTATTAGTAATAATATAAAACATATACTTGATAGTTAAATGTGTATAGTACAAAAGCCTAATTTAATATTTATTTAATCTATGAGTAATTTGTTGGAAACGAAATATGATCCAAAATTATAGTTTCCCCTTTAGTCGATGTGCCCTACAATTAACGGATGTTTGTACCGTGGTCCTTTCTGTGACCGGTATTAACTCCCACAGTATCTATTTCTTGCAAGGATATTGTTTACGAATTAAGACTGTGCCGTTGATTAATCAATTATTTATTCATTGATCGTGTTGCGTGCACTGTGAAAACTGATAGTTCAGAATCAAACACACTCAAGTCTCGGCTTGGTAGCCGTTGAAAGAACAAAATATTAGTATGTATACTTTATTACACTCGACGAAAAATAACAACCAATTTGAATAAACATTAATTATCAACCCTTTTTCCTCTTAAATACTGTCAATGCGATAAAAGAAAATATTATTTTGATATAAATTGTGTTTAATTTAAAAACCAAAAAAATGTTTGATACATTTTTTATTAATACAATGTATTTTTCGATTTCCGCAATATAGTATTTGTTAAAAAATAATTCATTATTATACTAATAAAACATTTATGTGGTCAATAGCAATAAAGTAGTTGTCAAATTAGTCTGCACTTTTTAATATTATAGAATATAACGTTATTTTTAGTTCAGTGTAGTCATTATTTTTAACAGATTTAATGGGTAAATTTTGGTTGTATAGCAGATTTTTAATCAAATTTATTGCCACCAATATTCAAGTTCATCTGAACAATATTTACACACTCGGAACCAATAATCAATAAATAATAAACTCAATCGACAGTTTAATTGCAAAATTATCTCTCACGGTATTTTTTATTTACCTTTATTTTTAAAAAAAGATGTATGGCATTGTATATTTTGATTAAGTCGCTTACCACTACTATGACACACACGCAAATAATATAAAATTGCTAAAATTTGTTTATTATCCCAAAAATAATTTTGAAGGTTATCCGACCGGTAATAAATTATCAATACGCGACTGTTTTTTTAATGTGAACGTTGAGGTTTTGCTATTTATTGCTAAACAATAATGGTTGTTCTCTTAAAAGTTTATCCACGGTGTACTCCAATTTAAACGTTGGCACTATAAGAAATTGGAAAAAATAGTAACTTTATTTTCTAAGCAAATTAAATAAACAAATACTGTTGCAGTAACAGCCTCGGCAGTGTAAAGTGTAAGACGGGAAAAGGACAATAACGTTTTTTGAGTGCTTGCTTAAATATGCGTGAACTCGAGAGACATATTTGACAAGGGGTTGTACTTACTTACTTAAGAGGTACAGCGCAATACAATCATTGAAGCCACGACTTGTGTTTTTAGCGCCAAAACAAGTAAGTGGGCTTTATTGATTATTGTTGTTTTTTCAAGCGAACACAGAAATGATGTGCCGCGAGTAGTATAAAAAAGGTTTAAAGGTGACAAAGGTTAAACAGTAGCTTTGGTGTTTTATTCCCATTCTACTGTCGTTCAATAATAATACTGAGTCGTAATACGTTTCAATTCCATGGAAAACGTCACGTCTGTTTATTCTCCTTAGGTTTAACGCATATCTATAATAATTTATATAAATTGAATAATATAGCTGTGGACATACGAATGATGCCAATATGTGTGCGGCACATTTTCGTGGCAATTGTAAAATTTGGCGTTGTGAACGGGTTAAAAAGTAAAAGGGCGCATTTGAAAGTCATCTTTTGTTTCTGAACACTGCAGGTAATGAATGATTGCACATGGTTATGGGCTTGTCCATTTATCTCGTTAACGCTATTCAATATGTGCACCTATACAGTTATTTTATTTAAATGATTGTATGAAAATAAAATAACCAAACAGAATCGCCTTGAAATGTCACTGAACGCGTGAATATAAAATATTCAAAGCCCCGCCGTTATGCGCGTTATAAATGATGTGAGTAGATATATACATATATTATGATTAACCATATTCACTCGTTTCTATAGCTCGATACCACAATGGTAAAAAGCAGGAAAATATCGCATTGTATAAGCACGCAGTTACACGATTATATAAACACATAATATCATAATGTGCGTTATCCGTCTACAAAATAACAGCATTGATGTGGCAAAAAGTAACAATCCTTTCGGTATAATATGTTTACTATACTTGTTTGTAACAAATATAGAAAAATTATACGTTGCTATACTTGATTGTATACAAATTAAGTAAAATTATTTGTTCATTTATGATATGTTACAAACACTATTTGTAATAATATACCGACTTTTCATCAATTATATACATAACATGCTGTGGTTTAACTAAAACGATACCTCAACAATGGTCATGTTGCCTTTAAATATCAATAATAAAACCATTAACAATATATAGAATCTGTATTTTTTTTCTTACAACAAATATTATTTATTTTGTTAGGTATACCTAAGTAAACAAAAATATCTTCCATGCAAAGATTAAGATTAGGTTATAAACAAAGTTAAAAATTCATCCATTCTCCCTAAAAATTAAGGAAATATTCATAAAAAAGTACAGATTTTCTAATTTGTGGCACGTTTTAAATTTATTAAATTTAACAAAAATATTCCGCCACCTTCTGCACTTTTAGTTTGTGAGCATTGCGTAGTATAGGATAGCGTTATACGTTTACACAGCGTGTATGTGTATCATAGGCTCCCGTCAGGTTAAATTATTATATGCGTGGCCTAATTCTTTGAGTTGTACGAAAGGTAGAGTAGGCTTTATACGCCTTGACTAAGGTCATTGATATCAGATTTTACTTAATTGCTACCGTTAAACCAATGACCACTCTGAATCTGCTATTGATTGTTATTTTTTAACTTGAACTATTTCAAGAGTCACTGCTCCACCATAATATAGTCTTGTTAGATTATTTTCATGAGTAAAAATATAGCTCAGGGATAACTGAGAACGTTAATTTAAGTTTAAAGGTATAGATCTGGTTTTATTAAAGCAATATCCAGAAGCCAAAAAAAAATTGACTAAGCTTACGATTTATAGTTAGTACAGATCATTGGCGTTAAGTCGACAAAATTATACTTATAAGCTAGTCAAATTATTTAAAACCAAACTGATCCTGTAATAAAGTATGGTGGAATCCAACGGAGCTCCAGATGTTTTAACACTATATAGAATATACCGTACATATAAAAAACACGAAATAAAACACATGTGTAAAAAAACTACAATAGGATTAACGGTTAATGCGATAAAATAAAATATAGTACCAACAGGTGTTTTATTATTTTTGTGTGGCCATACCGTAAGAAAATGATTTTAAAGAAATACATCCGGTTAAGACATAATATTTTGATAGAAAACTATTTTGAAGTTATTAAATCAATCGGGCTGCAGATGTCGACCGTTCTCTACATACATATTCATAATGATTGTGGAATTGTAAATCAGATTATTCGAAGTCGTTTTAGAAGATTATCGTGACGCTGATGCAAGGTGCTCAAATACGTTATCATTTTATAGCTACTCCGAAACATTAGCATAATGATGTTAAGTATCGCATGTTAGCGAATGCATTATGAACCAGCGTTTAAATCTTTGAAACGCAATAACGTACTTATAACGACTCGTGCTATGAGGTATTATGACGTCGCACACACATGCATACATAAATCGCATTCTTATTTTCATAGTGATCCTGTAAAATCGTTATGATGCGTGAAAATCGGTTCTAAAAATTTGCATAGTTCCGTAATAGTTGCCGGCTCAATTTGGCTTTGCGCTATAAAAAACAACAATATATGTAGTAGCAGTTGTCATCACATTTCATGACTAGAACCCATGTATTTATCATTAAAAATATATCTTACAAACATAATATATTTGACTGGCCAAAATGTTTACGACCACGGCGAAAAGACCTTAACAATTTAACAGAAATATCAGTAAATTAATAAAAAATATTTTTTATTCCTATATAATACATAATAATTCTTTCGTTCCTGGGAATTTTTTTTTTCGAAAAAAAAAATCAACAATTTTTTTACTTATCGGACTGATATTGACTATCAATATAGCTGTGTCGATTTTTTTATCATCAATCTATACTAGAACTTGTTTTTAAAGACATTTTTGATAATGATAGTACGTTGTTAATATTTTATTCGACGTTTTAAAGTTTTTTAAGTTAAATCCTCGTACGAGAATGTCAGTAACGAAAGGGTTAATCCTATAACATAATACATTTTGTAATAATTTTTAAATTATAAATTAATGGTTTAGACAAATTAAAATTGATATAAATGGTTATTGATCTCACTATTTTTAAAATAAAATCGAGATCGACTGGTAGCTGTCATTATAATCCTTAGGTCTTAGTCATGAAAGTTGAACATAGTTGATTCACTCTGACGCCGATTCACTGGTGCCTTCATATTATGACACTTGTTATTTTTTAAATATTATTCGTAATGGGAAATGATCGGTCGGAAAGATCATCCAAGTATAGTAGAATAGGCATGGATGTACTATTTTATACTCCAAGAGCATATGCCAGTAATTTACACAGCACTGACATGTGTGTAATATGATTTTACAAACGTTTATTTTTGTGTTTTTGTTTTTATAATTGCCGTTTAATATCTTGTTTACATTATATCCAAATGACGAGTATGTGTAATTTTTAGTTGTGTTATATGGACACCCGTCGAGCGCCCACGATAGTCTCGGCCGCCGCCGGTGTAAAAAACATATATATTATTTATGATATATGAACATGATAATGAGTGGTGCGCACAGTATCTGTGTGTGTGTGTGGATGGTGATAAACAAAAAAAATTAACATGGAGTTGATGTATTATTAATTAAAATCAGAGTTTCCCTGCTGTTTTAATGGTTGGTACCTAAATTCGAAGTTCTGAAATATTCGTAAATGATCAACGCTTGGCTACACGCAAGGCTCGACGTCATCTCTTGGCCGTGGTTATTATAACTTATAAGACTCTCCGGTAAACGTGTAATAAGTCGTGTAGCCGCTACTTGTAGGGGGTCGAAAAAAATGATATTTTCAATTTTTATTTCCCTACAGTGAGCCGAGTCAACGGTTACGGTGGCGGCAAAAGTCGTTTGTTCTTTAGCCACGGACATTTGTTCGCATGTCATTGTTCACGTTGTTCACGGTCGTAATAATAATAATTAGTATATTACCAGGGCGGTGAGAAATCCAGACCAATCGTACCTTATTTTATCATTATATGCTATCGCGAGGGTGAAAAAACTATACACATTTAGTATCATTTTCCACATATAATAGTTATTATGTCTTGTCTCGATCCGCATATGAATGGGTGGTTATATTTCTTTTGAGGGAGAACTATAAACGATTTGTCGGGTAAATTAATCCATGACAAACACTTAAAGTCTGTATACTATGTTCGCCAACGGACAGAAATCAGGTGTGAATCATATTAAACTTGCTACTTGGAAGTTGAGTTTGAAATATGTAGGAAATAGACTTTTAGATAGTATACATGGAAAAAATGTACATTGTTTTATTCACCTGTTATACTATAAAATACGATTTTGGAACAAAGAATAAAATACATTGTTTTTTTTTGTTTTTTTCGTTGTATCCGAATCTGACATCAGAATTTTCCTAGCTAAGTTTTCAAAGTTTCTAAAGTCGAAAGTAAACGCGGTTTTGTAGTATTTTCAGCGTGTTTTTTTACGATTGAATTATTTTTCCAATGTAATTTTTTAAAATTTATTTCTAAGGAGGGTTTATTATATTTTCTTTGCTGAGTTAAGGTCTGGCTTTAGAAATAATATGCATTTTTTTTTTTTGGAAGAGTTTTAGCCAGACACAAGACAATATAAATGGTAATAATTATAAAATAAACATAATAACAGTACCGGGTTCCTTTGTCTAAAATACCCTGTTTAAAAACATTGACACCGGCTACAAGTGGTAGTAAACATTCTTCCAAGGAGAGCGACGATTGGGACGTTTTAAATAGTTATGAAAAATTAAATTCATTGTGTAAAATTTGTTGGTTTATTCGTTTTAATACAGCAAAGTATTATCTTTTTGTTCTTTTTTTAAAATCATGTAATAGTCTTTTTTTGTAAAAAATTGACTACACTTCGTTTATCAATAATAATATAATACAGTTAAAAAAAAACACAACTTTAAACAGTAGTACAAACTAATTACCGTCTAAACCAGTAAAGTGTAAGCTAGCACAGTCCCAACCAAGTACTGTATAAATCAGTACAGAAGAAGTTAGCAAAGTTGGGTGAAAGCAGTTATTAAATATACATATGATAAAATCATAATTGAATGCCTCGATGCGAATCTGGAAATAATAAAAATTCAGCACAGTTTAACCCAGCATAGTCTAAACCAGCACAGTTTGAATCGAGTAAAGTATTAACCAGTACAGTCTAAACCAAGCACACTATAAACCAGCACAGTCCAGACCAGCATAGTAAGAAATTACCAAAGTGGTATCCAGTACCCACAGATTCACATCGAAACGTTTTTTTGAAAAAAAAACGATTTTATTGTGATTTTATTACTACCTCCAAATCACAGGTCTATAAGAACTGAATAATCGAATAATATACCTAAACTAGTTCTATATAATTTGGCGTATGACAGAAGGTTCTATAAATAGAAACCAGTCTTGTGGCTCGTTTATAAACCAACATAATTAGACGTTAGTATAATGGAGTTAGACCCCCATTAGACACCATCTGATTATGAAGTATAAATACCATTTGAAGGAAATAAGACAACTAGCAGTCGTTACCTTTCATAAGAATAAATTCGCTCATAACTCTGTAAGTTATAAGAACACTGCCATATATAATACAACTAACAAAGTAAAATATAATAATTTAAAATAAAGGTAGTCAGTAGATGCGAAGTTTCTAAAAAAATACATTCAAGAAAACTCTTTGATGCGAATCTGTGGATGCTAGTTTAGACTGGGCTGGTTTGGATTGTACTTAGTATAGCCTGTGCTGGATTGTGTTATGTGTAATATACTTAAAACTAACTGTAGTCCCGATATGGTGTTGATATAATTTGACAAAAATAAGATACCTACTCTGGAAAAAATATTATTTATAGAGGGTATTAGTTGATAGCTATTTTATAAATTAAATTCCTTTATTTAATTTCATTCTTACATAGCAGCTTTTGTAAAGTTAATGCATGATCATAATTTAAATATGCCCACATAGCCCATAAATGATAAACATATAACAATAGACAATATTTTGTTACTCTTCTGTTATATCGTCCCAATAACTGTTACTTATTAGATAGGTATAAACTATAGGGTAATATACAAAGAAAACATGTTTTTATATACTATTACTAATTATTTTCAGGTTATTGGTAGTATAAAAACAAGTTTACTATACCTACCTATACTTTTTTTTTAATTTCCTTATTTCAACGCTTTTATTTTCACTATAAATTTGTAGTTGTAGCTAAAAATGAAAGCTTTATTGGTGAAATATATAACATGCAAAATAATATAATGTTATGCAAATATGTATTGTTTACTATTATTAACTGATTATAATTAATAATATGTCAATGTAGTGTGATATTAAAATAAGATTAAATTCTAAAAAAAACAATTTAAACTGCATTGTGTCCAAAACATTTTTGTTTATTTAATAAGCATATTATTATGACTATTGCATAAAGCTACCGAAGTTCTTAATATTAGCATAAATGGTCACGTCCAGTGAAACTTCTTATGCCGCATTGAGCACTAAAAACTTTACATTATTAACTAAAAAAACTTTACATAGAAATTATTAGTTAATTAAAAAACAATTTTCCTACGGTCGATACCTTGTAATATTTGAAGAAATCAAATGTTAAATCGGAGTATTTTTGAGCTTACTGTTCTATGTAAGACCATAATATACTTTTATACAAAAATATAATCTGTATCAGTTGTAAAAATGAAAAAAAATATATCAAAATATGTATCTTTTACTACTCATTTTATAATACGCTATATTACAACTACCGGATACCATTACGCTCGTGATTCTTTTGTATTATATTTATTATTAAAAACATAATGTTTTATCCATTTATACAAACCAAAATATCAAATACAAAATAAAAAAATTATTAAAAAAAAAAATTATTCATGGCCGAGTGTCACATAAATATGTGTAAGTAATTATTATAATCAAATTATGAGTAGAAGTATTCCATGCAAATGAACTAGCGGTTAAACAACACGGTAGTTATTCGCGTGATACTCTTGAAAATTTCCCTTATAATAAAGTTTAATTTTTCCTTTCTTTGTCTTTATATTCGACATATTGAAGTAAAAATGTTCGTGCAAACTATTATATTTTTAAGTTATGTGGTTATGGTAACAGCAAATAAGCCTCCAACATACTTTCCGACTTTGCCGGCGGTAATGTACATCAACCAAATAATTTATATTGATGCGGTATTAACATAATTAAATATATAAAAAAAAAGAATTGTGGATTTTTAATTTTAGGGAGAGTATAAATTGAAATTTAAAGCTATCTTTCCATGTGAATCCACTGAACATCACAAGTTACAGTATAACATGTATTTAAGTAAAACATCTCCAACTCAATTTAAACTAAAGGGCAATATGACTTTGCTTATTCCATACGACGATTCGATTAATGTGAGTAAACTGTTTATGGTCCATTAGAATAGTAAAGTTCATAATTATAGAAGAGGGCAGTACAAATAATTATTTTTTAATTTAAGCAATTTATTTATAAGTTATAATTTATACTGTACAACAGTTTAGCTTTATAAACAAATAAATAGAATCTAAAATAATACTACAGTCTTGGTTAAAGCGGCTGGGAAAGTAGTTTATCGTCAATAGTAATTACAATTAAATTTATAAATAAAATAATTAAATTAAATTTATTGAAGGACTTATGGCAAAGTTAGTAGCGGTATCTGCCATCATCGAAGAGGGCAGTGTAAATTAATCTTTTTAATTTAGGCCAATCATTTATCAACAGCTAATATGTACTATCTAAATTTCTTTACATAAAATCGGATTACAGATGCGTATAATAATTAAATGTTACTAAATTCTGTGTTCAAGGAGGAATTTTATTCAACAGTAGTTATTATCAACAATAATAATTATGTAATTAAAATAACTAGTAGCATAAAATATAAAAAATTTAAATTTGTATTTATATTTATTTAACGCGTGTAATCTCTACACTATTGAGTATTCTTAAATGATAATATTGGAAATCATATTATGCTTGTATACCTAATTCTACGTTGGTAATTTATCTCTTTGTAAATTGTGACTTTTTGATAGTATAATTTATTTTAATTGAATCTGAAAAATATTTATGTTTAATTCGAATAGATTAACATTAATTTGGCCATAAAAAGTTCAATTGGTGGATGGAAAGATAATGCTCATGTTTATACGACGACTAATGCTTGTTCGAAAACAAAATGGTTGTATGGAAATCTATGGAATGATTTAATAAAAGGATTTAATATGCCGTCTGTGAATTGTCCCATAAAGCCGGTAAAAATTGACATACCTACTTATGTTCATTTTGAAATAGTTTGTTTTAGTGTTGAGAAGGAACGCCTTCCAAACGAAAATAATTTTTCTAATGAGTTTTTTTTATGGAACTTATTATATAAACTCCTTTAAAAATAAAATGTATGGTCATTCATTGGACAATATTTTCTAGTATAGATTTTAGTCAGTGGTCACAAATTTAGTCAAAATTAAAATATATATACAAATAATATTATAATTTTAAGTAAATTCTTTACTAGAAAAAGTTGCCCAATAAATGACTAATACATTTAATTATTTTAAAAGGAGTTCCAAAATAAGTTCTTACAAAATAAACTCGTTACAAGAATTCATAATTATGGTACGTTTATTGTAAAACTCCAAATTTTTAAAAAATACATATTTTTGCTTAATGAATTCAAATTTAGTCATATAATTCATTATAAAAGAAAAGCAACTACAAAAAATGTAAAAAATAAATAAAAAATAAAAAACACTGAATGAATACTTTTATTGTTTTTCATACACATTAATTTACAAAAAGCTCATTTTTTCAAAACTCAATTACAAGGATATAATTTGCTTTACAATGCATGAACACACACACACATGTATATCTTATTACATATATCTTATAAATACACCACATTATAATTCTATGTGTATATCTTTTTATACCTTTTTTAGATAATCTAAGTATAATAATAATATTAGGTATAATATAGGTTCTCAATTAAACCCGATAGTTTAAAGAATACTCTCTTTCACTGGCCAATAATTGACAATATTACTTCTAAGCGAAATAAAAGCATATCATTATGACACAGGTAGTTAGTCAACAACAAAGTTCATTACCGTTATTTTATTTTATGGTACTTATATTTTGTATTTTTATTGAAATGTCAATACTCAATTCCTTCAATAGCAGCCTATTGCAGAGGCAGCGGACGTTACGGCAGTGACATAAATAGAGGTTGTCTACGAGAAGAAGTTAACAAATAAAAGGAAAACTTAAGTTAAATAATAAATTACAACATAGAATATTAACTTAGATTTATAAATTACAATATATATATATATTTTAAATCATAGATTCCCAAATATTGTATTATGGGTTTAGTGTTTAAATTGGGGTGGCCGATAAGATATTGTCTATTTTGGCAGAAATGTTTTCCGCCCACGAAACTGTAATGGAACACAATTTGGTTAGGAAATGATTCTCTACACTAATATTAACTTTTAGAAATATACTATTCTACAGGGTGTTTATGTTACATCTGGAATCGATATTGAAAAATTGATGGATAATAATTTTCCAAAGACATTTTACTACGGCGAGTACAAAATGACGTTCACGTTTACAAATGGCGAGAAAAAAAAACTAGGTTGTTTAGTGTTTGTCTTAGATTTTTTACGGCCATGGGAAGTTTAATTTTTTTTATTTAAAAGTAACCTACAAAGTTTGTATTTTGCTAAAATGATGTAACTCATTATCATCTTATGAATAAAGTATTCAATTTAAACTTAATATTGTCAATTATTTTATACAAAAAACATTATTTAAATTTGTAATCCTTGTTTACTATTACAACACTCGACTTACATACTATTATTTAAAAACAATTCTAAATTAGAAAATTGAGGAAAATACAAAATACAATTTCTCAACATTTTTAAGGGTTACAATGATCTGAACTAAATTAGAAAACAATGTGCATTTTATGAATATCAAACAAAAAATCAAGTACAGTCTACATTAGTATAGTACAACCGTAACCAGTACATTTCAAACTAGTATAGTTTAAACTTTAAACCTGTAGAATATAAATCACGTTGCGTCTTAACCAGTACGGATCAAACCTAGCATAGTTTAATTCAGTACAGTTTGAACTAGTACAGTATAAAGTAACCAAGCTCAATTATAAATTAGCATAGTGATTTAAGGGGTATTTAATTTTTAAAAAATGTTTTTATTTACGAAAGCTACAATGCGAATCTGTAAATAGTATAACCTAGTACAGTTTAAAGTATAAACCATGTATTGGCATAGTTAGATAACACTAGGAGCGCTGTAGTCACATCAAATATGGCCACGAAACAGTACTTGATATCATAACCAGCATATCATTAATATACGTAAAATTTACAAATTAATTAGTACATTATTAGTATTATTAAAATATTGAAACATTTTTTCAATATTTTATAAACTAGGAATTAAATTTTTCAGGAGAAAATTAGGACTTTTTAAGTTATATGCCACTAATAATCTACCATAATTGCATTATTACTATCCATTATTTTAATCAAGTTACTTTATTCAAATAGGTATAACATTATTGAAAGCTCTACCCACATAAGGCTTACTAAAAATATTATTAGTCCAGCAAGAGATACTCCAATAAGAAATTTAAGGGTAAAATTTGATTTGTAATTACTGTACAATTTTATTCTGCATGAGAGATATTCAGGTTTTTTGCACTTATATTTCTGTACAATCCAAAACTACTCCAACAGCAGGAAATTAGAGTATTATATTTTATATACAATAACAATTATAACCAATAATACAATATATAATAATACTAATAATGTACTAATTAATTTGTAAATTTTACGTATATTAATGATATGCCGGTTATGATATCAAGTACTGTTTCGTGGCCATATTTGATGTGACTACAGCGCTCCTAGTGTTATCTAACTATGCCAATACATGGACATGGTTTATACTTTAAACTGTACTAGGTTATACTATTTACAGATTCGCATTGTAGCTTTCGTAAATAAAAACATTTTTTAAAAATTATATACCCCTTGAATCACTATGCTAATTTATAATTGAGCTTGGTTACTTTATACTGTACTAGTTCAAACTGCACTGGCTTAAATAAACTGTACTTGGTTTTAACTGTACTGGTTTAAACTATACTTGGTTAGGTTTTTTAGGGGTTTTCCCGAATTTTAGGGATGAAGCAGTTGACTTTTTCGAACCAAAGTACTAATCGTATACGATTTCGGATCTACAGAGCTGCTACTCAAGTAAATCAGTCCAGAAGAAAAAAGTTATCGTGTTTACAGACACGAAAAAAAACATAATTTAAGAATCAACACATTCACAGCTTCGCATTGACGCTCAAATTAGGCATACATACATAAAAATATATGTTATATTATAATAATAATTAATAACCGGAATCAAGGCACCAACAACCTATCCAAATTTGTCGAGTACCCTTAAATACACTTTTTAATTTACAGAATTGCTACAATAGGAAATTTAGTCCAGCTGTTAAAAAGTGATACAAAAATCAAAACAAAATCCATCGTTGGACAAACTAAAAAACAATACCGTCTAAGCTTTTTACACACAAAAGTAAAATTATTATAAAAAAAAAAAAATAATATTAATATTATAATACTGCTAAAATCATTATGGACTTAATTGTGATTTAACTTTTATACAGTTATGATTAGGTAGTTATGATAAATAAAATAAACAAAACAAAATGTTCTAAAATTCTAAAAATAAAAAACGTCCTCGACAAAACTCATTTCATGTTATCAGATATATTTATGGTAGAATTAGCACATGCAATCAAATACCTAATAAGGAAATGTTGCATTTAATAAGCTATGTAGTTAGAATAACTCCCAACTTTTTTGATAGCAACTTTTGAAAGTTAAAAGGTAACGTCTATATTTTATTAACTTTTTAAGTTGCTAATAATGTATTAAAAATTTTGACTGGTCGATAACCAGTTTCGGATAACTATTTTTTAATTCATTGAAGTTTTAAGTTTAGGTGAGGAGGAAAGGTGGAGTGTAGAATCATTTTTATCTGCGCGCATTTCCAAACAACACTTCCGCTCCTTTTTTCTCCTAAAAATAATCTGATAGTTTGTACTTTTTCTTAAATGATGTAACACATTATCATCTTATAAATATAGTATTCAATTAACACTTATAACTGTCAATTATTTTATTCAAAAAACATTATATAATTGTCAATCCTTATTTATGATTACAACACCCGACTTTACTTAACCGTTATTTAAAAAAAAGTAAAGATTAGAAAAATGAAGAAAATACGAAAATAAAATGTATAAATAAAACATACATACATAAAAATATATGTTATGTTTAAAATATTAACAGGAATAAAGCTACCAGCAACCTTTCCGAACTTGTCGAGTACATATTGAGTACAAACTTTGATCTACAGATTTTTACATTAGGAAATATGACACACTGGCCGAGTGGATTACAGCGACGATTCCATATCAAAAACTTGCAGAAAACAACGGCAGAACATTGCCCACTCTGTCAAGCAGGTGTCCGAACTAGGCTTCGGGCTTACCTTCGGATAACAAATTAGGAAATAGGCCCAGCGGTTAAAAAATGATTACAACAAAATAAAATAAAAACTCATCGTTGTACAAACTAAAAAACAATACCGTCTCAACTTTTTCCACACAAAAGCTAAATTATGATAATACTGTTTAAAAAAACTGTTTATAATACTGTTTATAAACATTATTAACGACTTTATTGCGATTTAAATTTTACACAGTTATAATTAGGTTGTTATGATAAATAAACAAAAAAAAAATGTTTTAAAATTCCAAAAATAAGAAACATCCTCGACAAAACTATTTTATATTATCAGATATATTCATGGTAGAATGATCACATGCAATAAAATACCTAACAAGAGAATGTTGCATTTAATAAGCTATGCAGTTAGAATTTGCTAGTACATGTTTTTGTTTCTGAGCCTATAATATTTTCATTATTTCTACAAAATACAATAGGTATTTATACATACTTTACTTTAAAACGTTTGATGTCATTTGGTGCAAATAATGATTCTGCAAATTATTATTTTTATGTTTTGTGTTAAAGTAAGTACTTTGGTTATGCCGCCAACATACCTTCCAAATTTACCAATGGTAATGTATATAAAATCTTGAAAAATATGTATTACAAATTATAATTTTAAATCGTTGGTTACAGGGAGTGTATAAACTAAAATTTAAAGCCGTTTTTCCATGTGAATCTACTGAAAATCATAAGCTACAGTTTAACTTGTATTTGAGTAAAAAATCTGCTACTGAATTTGAATTAAAGGGTAATATAACCTATTTGATTCCATTCGATGATTCTATTAGTGTGAGTTAATTTTTTATTTTTAACGAAAATATATTGTTTTTAGATGAATGGTTTAATATATTTGTATACGTTAGTTTATATATTATAGGTTTTAGAGTTTGAAAATCAATATTATGACCAATATTATTAACTAGAATATTTTACTATTTCAATATATTTAAAAATTGTGTAAATTAATTAACATGATGATTAATAATGTACATAATATAGGTAACTGAATGAAAACGAAAGATGGTGGTTTACGTATTGGATGATTATTTTACCTATGTATACTGTATAGGCTATAAAAAAATGATTAGTAATATTTTTTTTATTGAAATTTGAGATTAACTAAAAAATCAAATAGCATCGTTATAAACACATTTTTTATCTATTAAGTAATTTATATTTATGATTAATATTTTTTACCGTTTACAGTTTCGTATGTAAGCGTGTATTTAAAAGGGATTTTATGACTTTCAGTTATAACTATTCTTGAAGATCTGTGATTTCCTCAACCTCAATACGCCCTCACTCATCCTCATCCTCACTATGCATAGGGGATCGCCCTGTGCTGAGTGTTTTTAAATTGAAAATCGTATAATACTTCGTTTTTACTTTATTTTCTACCTGTATGAAATACTAAGTTAGCTAATATTATACATAATCACTCGTATTTATGTATATGTTACTGGAAATGTTGACAATTTAGGAAACGCACCTTATACAATATAAATAGACTTTCTAGATTAAATAGTCGTGGTTTCCTGATTGTCAACTTTTCCGGTAACTTTTATATTATATTATTAAATATATTGTATGCCTTCGCTATTGATTATATTTAATAAAAGTAAATAATTAATATTATATTATATATTAATTACTCAGAACTAAGTAGGTAAATTAATCTATATAACTTTATATATATATATATTTATTTTCTGTCCGTGTGTCAGTATGCAAACTCCTTCTAAACGGCTGGACAGATTTTTACGAAAGTCTGTGTGAGCGATTAAGTTGATTCGAGAAAGGTTTAGATCCACAATTTGATCCGACAGAACATGTTTTTAATGTTTAATTAATTAAAATGATTAATTATGATTACCAATATTATCAATAGTTATCAATACATCTCTATGGTTTTTCATACCACAGGGATACAGTGATCCGATCAGCTGATTGTGTGTCTATTCTAATACACGGGCAACGCCGGGTCGGGACACCTTGTATATACGAGTATACATATATAATTAAATTAATGTATGTCTGTTTGTTCATAATGCATTAGTACACCATTCATCCGATCGCCATGAAACTTTGGGAAGTTGTTGAGTATGCTCTCGTGAACCTAACTGGCATAGTACTTTTCGAAAATTCCACCCCTAAGGATGGCCTTAAACACGAACTTTGTACTTTAAATACTAACTATTTTCTGTTGTTAACCCAAAATAAACACTTGGTTTGTAACCACGGTACGCGAGCGAATGGTAGGTGATGATTAAAGGAACAGGCCGATTCTATGTACTACGATTCTGGAGACGTTTTTCACGATTGGAACTGGATCTGGAACTGGAACTGGGACCGGGACTGGGACCCTGGAGTAAGAGGAGGACATAATAACCTAAAAAAGTGTCACAAAAACGCTGTCACGCTTTTATCTGATAACAGATAAGAGATTAGAGATGAGGGATGTGGGTGAAAATGGGGATAGGAGTGAGAATGGGGGAATGGGAATTATTTTACTCAGCCCTGGCAAACTAAATCCCGGGCAACGCCGGGTCCGGACAGCTTGTTAGTAGTAAAAATAACACATACTTGTATGTTGTGTATTATATTATATATTATGTTATTTTATAGATTAACATCAATATGGCGGAAAAAGGATCAATTGGTGGCTGTAAAGATAATGCACATGTTTACACCACGACTAATGCTTGTTCGAAAATGAAATTTTTATTTGGAGATTCGTGGGACATTTATATTCATGGATTTCATTTTCCAGATTTGGAATGTCCAATAAAACCGGTAAAAGTAATTATAATTAGATTAAAATTTTCCATAATGTAGGTAACGAAATGCTGAATGAGCGGTATTCATTTTCGATTCGAATATATATTATGTATAAATCGATGATTACAGAAACGACATAAGTAACATTTTTTATGAAATTGAGATTTTAGTAGAAATAACGTTCTAGTCATGTGTTTCTATCCATTTTCATCAATTATCCAAACATATGAATGTGTTAAAATTGTCACAGCTTGAAATATCACGTGGATGATTTTCAGATATATCTATATTCTATTGTCTATATAGAATATAGATATATCTGAAAATCATCCACGTGTTATCCAAACATTTAAAAAATTTTACTTTTGCTGTTTCTGTGATCATTATGAACCCATATATGTATTCTGATTCATTTGATTTATATAAGTATTTTTTAGGGGTCTTGCGCATTATATCTTATAAACTATTTTTACATGTTTTATCCTTGTTGTAGGGTGTTTACGTGTCATCTGGAATTGACATTGACAAAATGATGAATACTAATTTCCCTAAGACATTTTTTTACGGAGAGTACAAAATGATATTACGTTATCAAGTAGTTTTGCCAAAAAACTTGGCTGTTTTGTATTAGTTTTAGATATTTTACGACCATGGGAGATTTAAATACTATACTTATACTTAAGTACCTATAAAATGTATTTCAGTAGCTTAAATATTGTAGTTTGTTTCATTTAAATAAAATATGTATCCATTTTACTCGTCTAAATGTAAATTCAAAGTAAAAAGAATTTATTTATTATACCGCATATTGATGATAAATTGACGATTAGAAATGTTTGTAAATTATTATAAGCCGTAACTTATTGGTCTCATCTAGTAGTCTTCTATGTGAAAATGTAATTTTTTTTTTATTATTTTACATTTTTAATATTACCATAAACTTTACAAAACAAAATATTGTTTCAGGACAAATATAATTGGCTAACGTTGATTTATGAGTTATTTTCAGACGCACAAGTGTTATTGCGAACGAAACACGATTTTAGGTTATATAGTGATTTCCACAGATTTGTGTTGATAGGGTAGAAGGAAAAAAATCGTTTTCGGTCAGCTTCATTAATGACGTTAATTTTTGCCGCCGTGAAAGAGTAAAAATCTATAAATCACGGTCCGGCTGTCACCGTAGGAAATAATAAACCGTTTTAAAAGCGATATTAGCTTGTGGGCAGACCAATAATTTGTTTCCACTAAAAAGCTGTCCACGCGTATGGCTTTACCTTCCATTTTCTAACCATTAATATATGTAAAGTATTTAGATGTAATATGTACAGTGTGCCCATATTTTTAAAGTGTAGGCTTATCATCTAATCGCTTAAGTTCCGTTAGATACGGATGGAAAATAACACAAATACTGAATAATTAAACGCCTAATAATAAATTGTTTTAGAAGATTAAAAGATTGTAATTAATTACTAATTAATGGCTGATGTAAGCTCTTATATAATACTTGTTTAGTATTTTATACGTAAAACTTCTATCAAACCAAATAATAACGTTCAAATATTGAGAGTGAATTTGCTGGAAAAAGGGTAAGCCACAATAGCAATTTGTATTCATAATAATATTTTGCACTTTGTTAACTATTGACTAAACTATTTTTAAATTTACATAGTTTAAAGACATGATTTATACGAGTTGAATAAATCGATTCATTAGATCATTTTAATTAAAAAAATTTGGTGTAATACAAAATAAATGCAGGATTAGAAATAATAACTGTTACTACCAAGAATAGCAAAAATAATAGAAACTCTCGAATGTATATATTTTTTGAAATTTTTGTAATTTAAGATGTTTCTACTGTCTATAAATCAATGCTTTTACAAGTATTTTGTCTTTTATCTAAATTGAATTATGTGGATTATACAGTTACATTTATCTGTATTATTTTCGAGCCACTTAATCGATTTATTGTTTCCATTGTTAAACTGAACATTCCTTAGCGTAACTTATTCACATACAGGTACGAATAAACTTATTATAATGTTATAGTGACACATGACAGGTTGGGTTCAATAGTTTTTTTGCATTAAAACGAATTTTTTTCTTAATAAACCATTTGATATAGATTCATTCTTTAGATGCAAAAATGCATACGCACATTACACACGAATTTCGAATTAATAGCATAAATAATAGTATGGGACAGATAGAACAATCGGTCAATCCTAACTCAGTGTACGCCTACTAACCAATATTATATATATAAAAAAAAAATAATCATATAATACAATATTAATATTATTTAATTTTGTAACATTATAATATGCTAAATCGCCTTTATACAATAAATATGTTCCTACGTAAAAATACAATGCAATATATGTGTACAAATACAATTATTGTACAAAAACAATATGATAATAATATTATTATTCAAATCAATTTGTCTCATGAATTCAGCTTATTATATATATACATGTATACAAGTAACGTAAAAACGACTGCTGGCACCATTACCTCGGGACGGAGGCGGATCTATAAGTTTAATAATGACAATGATTATAATTAAAATAGTACGCTATATTATTTTATGTTTATATACATAGATTTACACGTAGCGCCTTCGAAAATCTCATTTTATTTCCACACTCTACATAGTGTTTAAAATCGTTTAATGACACCGTCCGCGCCTTTTGTTTCGACCGAATACGATAAAATTTCGAACATAAATAATAATTAGAACAATAATTGACGCGTCTAAATAACTTTTGCGTGGACGTTTTAAGTTTAAATCGAACCTACGTACGTTCTTATCGGTCGTTGGTGAACGGTTATAGGTCTAACATAAATGCACACCATTTAATGTTTCAAGTAAATATCTATATTAATAATTTATATTTCCGCTAATTGTTGTCCGTTTGTTATTCATAGTTAAATTGGATTAAAAGTAGGGAATCTTATAAACAAAAAAAAATAAGAATTTTTTTTTTTATAAAATATTAATTTTCAATTGTGTATCCTCTGAGACATAGAGTATACTTAAAATTTGAGTGTAGATAATTTTATAAACGTTGTGGTTTTATAGCGAGAAAAACATAAGTGTGACATGTTGTGCCGCTTGTTTTGTATATTAACGATTATAATTTTCTTTTACTATACTCATTCGCTAACCATAAATAATACTGGAAGTACCTTTTAAAGTAAATGAAATATTATTTAGCTCTCTGTAACATTTGATATGTTAAGTACTATATTATATAAATGCCTAATAATTATGGCACAAATTATAATATTGTAAAAATAAAAAATGTACGTTGAAATAAGTTTCTAATTCATTTAAATAATAGTTTTTTTTTTTTTTATTTCGTTCATGGATTAAAAAAAATATTAATTTATATTATTGATGTAAACCCAGTTTTTAAAAATTAAACAAATATTCTACTGATAACTGTTTTGTATAAAAGTGATTTCACTACTTTCAATTTTTGTTTGTATACTAACTGTAGAAGATTTTTTTTTATATTCCACAACCGGAATTTGACCAGATTTATGTTACCCCTAGATTACGTTTACCAAAAAACAGCACCATATTATCAACACAGTATTCTCTTTTATACTGTAGTGTATACACGGTTTGCTTTTCATACAAATTTCGTATTGTAAAAAACCATTACCGGCTCGTTCGTGTGCATATGTATGTAAAACCCTAGTGTAAAGTATAAATCGCTTTTATTTATTATATATAGAAAAGAAATATATATATATATATATATGTAACGCATTACCACTTTTTTATAAAGTTATTACAACGGACCCAGCACGTTTCGGTTGGTTGCTGTGGCCCTCGTTGTAAAATGACTAAAAAATTTTAACGACTTTTTTTTCCGGGCTAGTTAATACGTCCCGTTTTGTCGAACAGGTCGTTAAGGTGTGAAATTAATTTGTTATTGCCTTGATAATAAAAGTATATTATCATTTAGTGTATATATGTGTGTAATAATATGAAGACGTATTGGGCAGAAAGCCATTAGCGTTGCACCGCCGCCGCCTCGGCCGCGTTGAAATTCCTCGTACAGAGATTAACCGCCGGACACGACAACAAGGGAGACCGTAGTAACGGTGGAGGCGGAGGTCTAGAAAAATGATTTATGAAGCTCGAGCCCGGCGGAAATCCAACGAGGAGCGGACACACATAAGAAAATATATTTATAAAAAAGACACGGACGTCGTCGTATGTCATTATTAAGTCTTGGTAGTCGTCGCCGCTGCTGCCGCCGTCTCTCGATGGCATGGTTGTTTTCGTTGCACCTTATAAAAAAGTAAGTATAGTGGTTCTATGCACAGTGGTCAGTGCAACCGTTTAGCGTTGTCCCGGGTTGCCGATTACAAAAAAAAAAAGTATTTGTCCCAAACACGACAATACAAAAAAAAAAGACGTTTAAAGAGATCAAGCTAACCGGTTTCGAAAAAACAAAAAAATACAATCACACTTAAGCAATCGTCTTAGGCGCGGAGAACAAAACGTTTTGGAAATCGATTTATGTTTTTGTAGGCCCTATGGGTGATTGTTAAAATGAGTTGTTATTACCGTGTTCTGTATAGGACATTACTATTGTAATTTAATTCAGTCACTTAAGGAGTTCACTTGACGAGAATCGTTAGGAAATCGTTGAAAAAAACGAACGAATACTGAAATCAACGCTCAGATATATTTAGTAAAATCCGGGTTTTATTCTGTATTAACCCTTAACTTGACAATATTTCGTTCTTCTTCAACAATATCTAACAAGTAACAAACTACCTACAAATGTGTTGGATAAGTTTAATTAATGTCTGCCAAGGTTGTGCTGCTAACTTTATGAAGGTAAATATATTCACTATAGAGAATTAATTATATAGAATATAGTATTAACTCAAACTCAATTAATACTCTTACCAAAATAATAATGTTTGACCAAAGGTCAAGACTGGTAAATCGTTTGTTGTTGGAATGAGAAAAAATATAATACGTTACTCGGTAGTTTTTAATTATCAAACTTCAGCTAGTTGACTGGTGAAATAATATCGTCATCATTATAATAGTGTTATCATTCATAATGTACAACGAACCTTATTATTGTTAGCTAAAACGTACAAAATATCCGCTTTCCGACACTGAGCTAACGCGGTAGAAGCTTAGATTACATTACAAGAAAGCTATGTAGAAACGTGCAATTATGTTTTGCTACTTTGGGTCGACCGGTTATTATGTTTAGTGTACCTTTATACCTTGATTTGATGGATTGACTAAGGTGCACTCAGTAGAAGTGTGACGTTGAAATTGAAAGTTTCGCAAGCCCGGGGCGACCGGTAGCCATCGTCACCGCAGATCGTAAAATATAATATAGGTATACTTTTGGTTGTATACCGAGAAGAAGAAGATGATGATGAAAAGAGCTAGGTCGAAATCGGAATAAGAAAGACAAAGCGAGAGAGAGTCAAAGCCGGAGAGAAGCGAAAAGTGTGTTACGTGGTCGTCGGCAGATGCACCAGCCGTGGGAAATTCGACTCCAATATCATATCGTGATTGCTGTTGGGGATCCGACGTCGCGGTCGTCGATGACTAGAGAGAGAGAAATAAGTACAGTG